CCACTGACACCAATGATGGGGCACTATTCCTTCCCCCACTGACACCAGCAATGGGGCACTATTCCTCCCTCCCACTGACACCAGCAATGGGGCACTATTCCTCCCTCCCACTGACACCAACGATGGGGCACTATTCCTCCCTCCCACTGACACCAACAATGGAACACTATTCCTTCCCCCATTGACACCAATGTTGGGACACTATTCCTCCCACTGACACCAATGATGGGACACTATTCCTCCCACTGACACCAATGTTGGGACACTATCCCCTTCCCCCACTGACACCAATGATGGGGCACTATTCTCCCCCCCCCCCACTGACACCAACGATGGGGCACTATTCCTCCCCCCACTGACACCAACAATGGGGCACTATTCCTCCCCCCACTGACACTAATGATGGGGCACTATTCCCTCCACTGACATCAATGATGGGGCACTATTCCTCCCACTGACACCAATGATGGGGCACGATTCTTTCCACTGACACCAATGATGGGGCACCATTCCTCCTACTGACACCAATGATGGGGCACGTTTCTTCCCACTGACACCAATGATGGGGCACATTTCTTCCCACTGACACCAATGATGGGGCACTATTCCTCCCACTGACACTAATGATGGGGCACGATTCTCCCCACTGACACCAACGATGGGGCACTATTCCACCCACTGAAACCTATGATGGGGCACTATTCTTCCCACTGACACCAATGATGGGGCACTATTCCTCCCACTGACAACAATGATGGGGCACTACTCCTCCCACTGACACCAATGATGGGGCACTATTCCTCCCACTGACACCAATGATGGGGCACTATTCCTCCCACTGACACCAATGATGGGGCACTATTTCGCTCCATAAGATACACTTGGTGGGAAATGTCTGTGTGCCTTATAGGGCGGCCGGCCCAGTATTCCCGCCGTCGTTGTATGTCCGCAGTCTCTGGTCATTTCCTGTGCTGTGTCCGCATTTGTTCATAGTTTTTTTTTTTTTTTTAAACGATAGTCCGGCCCTCCAACGGTCTGAGGGACAGTGAACTGGCCCCCTGTTTAAAAGGTTTGAGGACCCCTGGTCTACAGCCACACTAAAGTCACCCTCAATGATTAACAGTCTCTCTGCAAAAGAATACACAGCATCCAGACAACGTTCAAGACACAAAATTTGGTCAGTATTTAGAGCATATACAGGACTCCGGGAGTTTGTCCTGGATGGTAGATAAATTTCCCTGATAATTGTGGTATGGTCTCTTTAAGGGAGAGAGAGAGAGAGAGAGAGAGACTCACAGGCTGTGAGGCAAGTGCAAGCTTTCTGACAAACTGAGACACGGGCTGTTGATCCTCAATGTGGCCTGCCTGGCACCCTTGTATGGAGGAGCCTAACTCCCTGTATGGGACTGAAGATTGTGGTGAGCTTATGATTTAGCTTCTGAAACCAGCTTTTGGGACTGTTTATAGACTTTTGCTGAAGTAAGCTGTATTTTGTTTTTCATGAACCAAATAAATGAACTGTTTTTCTTTTACCAAAATGGCTGGCGGTCATTCCCGAGCTACCCCATATCACATTTGGTGGCAGATGCAGGGCAGAGTGTAGCCACAAAAAAGTCATTTGAAAGCAGAAGTAACATTTAAAGGGCCAGGACCCATGTTTGCATGTCCTGAGCCAGGGCTGCACAAGCTCTGAAAACCTCAGGGGGCAACATGGAGGAGGTTATAAAAGCCCTGTCTCAGAGCACAATAGCCCAGCAGCAGGCTGCTGCAGATGCCAACCAGCGCCATGAGGTGGCAATGGCCCAACAACAAGAAACTACTCGCTTGCTGGTCACCCAGTTCACACTCCAGCAAGAAACTACTCAAGCGCAGGTGGCTGCTTTACAGGAAGCAGTGCTGCGTCTCACACAGGGTCGGGAACAAACAGATGTTGCCCCTAGCAACCAGGTCGCCATGCGGGCCAGCCACTATCTGCAAAAATTGATGCCAAGTGATGATATGGAGGCATTTTTGGCTACTTTTGAGAGAACAGCAGAAAGAGAGGGATAGCCCCAAGACCAGTGAGCTGGTATTGTTGCCCCTTTCCTCACAGGGGATCCCCAGAAGGCCTATTTTGATCTGTCTTCTGCTGATGCCAAGGACTACAAATGGCTGAAGGCAGAAATCCTGGCTCGCCTTGGAGTGGCAACTGCTATGCGAGCCCAAAGGGTACACCACTGGAGGTACTACCTGGACTGTCCACCAAGGGCTCAGATGCATGACCTAAGTCAGCTGGTCAAGAAATGGGTGCAGCACGAGAGTGTGTGACTGGTTCCCAAATGGTGGAGCGGGTCGTGTTAGACCGGTACCTAAAGTTGCTACCGACTGACCTTCAGCCATGGGTGAGTCATGGGGACCCCAAAACCGCAAATGAACTAGTGGCAAAAGGTCGAAAGATGCTCTGTGGTGGAGGATCTATTGGGATCGGTCAAATCAAAAGGCCCTTACCAGTGAGGAGAGCCAAGCCACCCATAAAACCTCAGGAGAGCCAAGGAGTGACTGCCCCAGTGTCACCAGCTAAGGAGACCCCTGGGGGGAGGAACCCACTCTTATGCAGGTCATGGCTGGGGAGAAAATAGAGCAAGCCTCTCCTCTGCAGGTTATGTCCGAGGAGGACGAGGGAGAGAGCTCCTCTAGTCTTGGCCATCCTGATCTCGAGGTGTCACGGGTGCATTCTATTCTGCCCAAAGGAGGGATCCCACATTGAAAAATGCCTGGGAACAGGTTACCATAGTTTATGGAGTGTCACAAGTACCTGAAGCTGAAAAAAGGTTTCCCCGCTTTGTGGTCATTGATGAGCTGATATACCGGGTTACTGACGTTAGGGGAGAAGTGGTCGACCAGTTACTGGTTCCCCAGCCTTTCCGACGCACAGTACTTGACCTAGCTCACAATGGCGCATTAGGGGGTCACCTGGGGGCTAACAAGAACGAAGCACGAATAACAGACCGGTTCTTCTGGCCAGGGGGGACAGCAGAGGTGAGACATTATTTCAGTACACGTCCCAACTGCCAGCTGACTGCGCCAATGCTCCACTTTAGCAACCCGTTGGTGCCCTTGCCCATATCAAGGTACCATTTGAGCGCATTGTGATGGATTTGGTGGGCCCTTTGGTGAAATCAGCTCAGGGCCACCAATACATCCTCGTGGTACTCGATTATGCCACCAGGTATCCAGAGGCTGTTCCCCTAAGGGAGACTACTTCAAAAACAATTGACAGGAAATTGTTTAATATGTTCACAAGGACAGGATTCCCGAAGGAGATCTTAACAGACCAGGGCACCCCATTCATGTCGCGGGTGATGACAGATCTGTGCAAGTTGTTCCAAATTAAACAGCTATGCACATCTGTCTATCATCCACAGACAGATGGACTGGTAGAGCGGTTCAATAAAACTCTCAATTCTATGCTTAAAAGGGTTGTGCAACAAGACGGTAAGGACTGGAACTGTCTACTCCCGGCATTGATGTTTGCAATTAGGGAAGCCCTCAGGCGTCCACAGGATTTTCCCCATTTGAATTGGTATACGGGTGAAGACCGTGGGGACTTCTTGACATAGTGAAGGAAACGTAGGAAAGTGAGTCCTTTCCTCATAAGACAGTTCTAGAACATATAACTCAAATGAGAGAGAGGATCACTAAGGTGATGCCTCTTGTCAAGGAGCACATGCAAAAAGCGCAGGATGCACAAAGAAAGGTGTACAACCGGTCTGCCAAACTTAGACAGTTCCAGATTGGGGATCGGGTGGCTGTGCTCATACCTACAGCAGAAAGTAAGTTCCTAGCCAGGTGGCAGGGGCCCTTTGAGGTGGTAGAAAAGGTTGGGGAGGTTAACTATGAGATACACCGACCTGGGAAGAGGAAACTCTATCAGATATACCACATAAATCTCCTAAAGCCCTGGAAAGACAGTGAGCAGGAAGTTGCCCTGGCTGAAGTTAGTTCTAAGTCCCCATTAGGGGAAAACTCAGTCCTAGTGTCCGACTCCCTATCAAACCCACAAACACAGCAGGTAAAAGAGTTCTTACAGAGGAATAAAGAGAAGTTCTCGGGACTGCCAGATCTCATCCGGGTCATTGAACCCGATATTGTCACAGAACCTAATGTGAAAATTCCAGTGAAACCCTATCGCATTCCCGTGGCACATAGGAAAGCAGTGGCACAGGAAGTTCAGAAATGCTTGAACTTGATATCATTGAGGAATCGCAGAGTGAGTGGTCGAGCCCCATCGTGTTGGTGCCAAAGCCTAATGGGACTCTGTGGTTTTGCAATGACTTCCGCAAACTCAATGAGGTATCGAAATTCGATGCCTACCCCATGCCCAGAGTAGACGAACTGATAGAGAGGTTGGGACTAGCCCAATACATTACCACACTTTAGGGTGTCCTACATTGCCTCGGACACCTCTGCGTCGAGGCAGAGTGGGGGATATGTACAGGACACCAGGAGTTTGTCCTGGATGGTAAATACATTTCCCCGTTATTTGCGGTATGGTCTCTTTAAGGGAGACCGTTGCAGAGACTACCAGGACTTTGTTCCCAAGGGGGTTTAAATCCCAGTTGAGGGAGGCTTAAATGGCAGCAGAGGGAAATTGGCAGGTGTGTCAAGGAAGTGGAGAGTGAGAGAGATTCACAGGCTGTGAGGCAAGTGGAAGCTCTCTGACAAACTGAGACACGGGCTGTTGATCCCCCAATGTGGCCTGCCAGGCACCCTTGTATGGAGGAGCCTAACCCCCTGTATGGGACTGAAGATTGTGGTGAGTTTATGATTTAGCTTCTGAAACCAGCTTTTGGCACTGTTTATAGACTTTTACTGAAGTAAGTTGTCTTTCGTTTTTCATAAACCAAATAAATGAACTGTTTTGCTTTTACCAAACTGGCTGGCGGTCGTTCCCGAGCTACCCCATATCACACTGTATATTAACCTCCTTAGCGGTATTCCCAAGTATAGCTCAGGGTAAAATGACAGTACCTAAAGCGGTAACCCTGAGCTACACTCGGGCTTACCATGCGGTGTTGCTCAGGGAGTCCCTGCAGCACTTACCTTGTCCTTCGCTCCCGCGATGTGTCCCCTGCAGCGTCCCCGGCCATCTCCTCCAGCCGATGCCGGCATCCGGCTTCTGTGTTCCGGTCCCTGTGATGTCGGGACGTACGGGCGCTGGAACCGGCGGCAAATTTTAAATTTTTAAAAAATTTCATTTTTTTTAAAATGATTATTACATAGTAAAACATTGCTGTTTCAATGCATTTCACATACATTTTGTCCCTAGTGCTTTGTCCTGTGCCCTGCCTGCATTTTGACTGTTCTTTCTGCCTGGAAACTTAGAAAAGTCCTTGGCGTCCAAAAAGCGTCCCTTTACATCAAAAGCGGTTTTAGACCAGCTAGAGAACAGCGATAGTAAATCAGAACCACTTGCAGAATTGAGTGATAATGATTCGTGGTGAAATTCGTCATCAGACACTGGAAACGATTTTGCGACTTTGCTCAGCAATGTGGGAATTTGCCTCTGTATTTCATATTTCAGTGTTTTTGGTTTGATTATATTATAGAATTCAATTTATTATTATTATTATAATATTATTTTTTATGATTATTTATTAAATTATAATTTTTGATTTCGTGTTTCAAATTTTATCCTACCCGAGATGTTTACTAGACTCTTGCTCGTACAGATTTCAGTGAGTTATTCCTAAAAATTACAGCCTACAATAAAAAACTACATATTTCCATGCAAAAAAATGGTACCGTTTTCAGCACAAAAAATCGGAAAGAATCATACCTCCGAGGAGGTTAAGTAGCCTCACTAGTTCATCTTCCAAATTTGCTTTCTAAAAGAGATAGTGACCATGATCATCAGAGAGCTGATCCTTAAATGCCCAGTTCACCAATTTCGAATTGAATTAGTATGATATATCAGTGGGAAAAGGGTGTTATGAAGCTTTGGGTGTTTGTTTACTTTGAAATATCTCTCTTGGAGAAATGCTATATGAGATTTTTCACTCCAGAGGTCTCCCAAAAATTTGGACCATTTTTTAGGTATATTCAAACCTTTCATGTTTTAGGATGTGATCCTGGTTGGTGGCTTAGGAATGGATGTGGAAGATGAACGCCCAGCAGGAATGAATTGCTCAGTTCAAGATTCAAGCACAGCAAGAGAAGGGAAAGATATGGGAAGTAAAGAAAAAACATAGATTGTAGCCGAAAGGAAGCACGTTCCTGAAAATTGAAGTGTCTTTTGCTTTAAGAAATAGCCTAAATATATTTAGATGAAAAATCTACAATGTTTAGGTCTTTGAGGAGCTGCCTATGTGGGGAAATGGTGCTCAAAACAATAGAACAATGAGAGATGAAACCCAGGAGCTAGAAACTGTCATAAAAACATCATGACAAGCATAAACCATTATTTTATAAATGCTTGACTGCAGGATTCTTCTCTATCCTGGAGGTGCCCCTAAGTGCTTTATATGAAGATTTAAAGATAACAACTAGAAAGGTGTGCAGAAGAAGATCCTACTATGAGGGTTAGCGTTACACTTCCACGATTATGGTTATTATGTATTTGTTTTAAGATAAAATAAAATATCTTCTCCCAACACATTTAAACGATGCATTGCCCTGGATGAAAAGCAACCTTTTGGGGGACCTCCCACTTCTGGATGCATCAAAATCAGAGGCATTATTAACAAGCAGTGTAATCATTAAAGTACTCTGGGAAAAGTCCTGGCCCAGACAGGTTTTTATAAACAATTTTGTGATGTTTTCACTCCCATTTCTTTGATTGGGGTTGACCTGAAAATCTATTACAAAGTGATTGCTAATAGACTCCAACCCTTGCCCTCTGGCTTTATCCACCTAGATCAGGTGGGGATTGTTACTGGGCGGAAGGCATGAGATAACACAAGGAAAACATTGTTGCTAACACAACACACTCAGTCTTCTTCCATTCCTATGTGCCTCCTATCAGTAGATGCGGAGAAGGCCTTTGATAGAGTCACCTGGTCTTTCCAGCTGTACACTTTTTCCCATATGGGACTGGGTCCCAGGAAGACATCTAGAATGTTGGCCTTATACTCTTGCCCCACTGCAAGGGTGAGGGTCAATGGATTACTTTCCCCACGGTTGCCTTTTAATAACGGTACATGCCAGGGCTGCCCTCTATCCCCTTTGCTTTATACATTAATGATGGAGCATATGGAGGTGGCCCTTAGGCACAATCCTAACATCCCTGGCTGATCCATGGGAACACTGATGACCTTCTCCTGTATGTGACTCAACTTCATAAAGAGATATCATCTATTCTACAGGAACTACAGGAAAAGTTTGGATTTGAGAGCAACTTTAAAGTTAATTTGTCTAAATCTGAAATTCTCAGTGTTTAACTTTCAGCATCAGTAGTGAAGGCCCCTGAGGTGAATTTTCCTTTTAAGATCTGTCCTTCCTCTTTAAAATATTTAGGGCTATACATCCAACAAGACCATTCTAAGCTTTATTCACCTAACAATGAACATTTTTTTATTGATTTTTGACAGCTACTAGAACTGTTATTTCCAAACATTGGAAATCTTCGAATGTGCCTACTTTGGCTGAATAGGTGCTGGAAATGGACTCACTTATGGATTTGGAATACTTACTAGCAGAGGTGCATAATAGGTTAGGCAAACATACCAAGACTTGGGCAGCTTGGACTATATTTTGGAACTCACAAGAAATCTGAGCCATCCCCACTCCTCTAGTCCTGAGGTTTTGGAGTTGGATGGAAAGCAATTCCCTTTCCCATTATTTTTTTTGTTGCCTTTTTTTACTATTTTTATTTATTTATTTCTGTGTTAAATGGCACAACGAGATTAGCTTTGTAATTATTGGGTGTTTGAATCCCTTGTTATTTATAGTATAATTCAAGAGATAAAGGTTATTTTCCTCATCATGCCCTGTTTAGAAATTATTATTTAGTGCTATACTTATTTGAAGAAGCTTTTGTTGGTTTATGTAATATTGATGATGTCATTCTTGTATCTTTACAATTTTGAAAATAATAATAATAAAAGGATAAAGTACCAAACAGTATTTCTAGCATTGTTAACCATTTGAATACATATTTCACAAATAACAAACAGTAAACAGTAACTCACATATCTGATCCCAACAGGTTTTGAATAGAATTAAGAAGGAGGTAGACACAGGGGCCAAGAAAAATTACAATACGTGGGATTATGGTGCACAGATGGGGTTAAGCTCCTATACGATATGGTCTATGGAACATCCATAGTTATAGTCCATAAAAAGTCCCAAAAAATCCATGGGATACATTATATACCAGCTGCCACTGTCTCCAGAGTAGCCCAACTCTGTATATGAAAAGAAAAAAGGGGAAGCGCCACCTAAGTGCAGTAGTAAGAACTTGAGAATATCACTCCTCATACAAGGGACAAACACTGTCAGTGCTGCATGAGGCAAGATAGCACATATCAATCCTCCCAATGTCCGGATTTGTGTACGCCATCTTATATGCGGCCACTCTTGGAGCCATCCTTTCCCAGAAAAGGGGTAGGTATGAGAGTTCGAGAGGACTGAAAGCATTGTACTGTAGTAGCAGTAAGCAGATAACATATTTTGTATAGTTCATGTCTAGTGAGAACTAAAACTCAGTAAAAGGAAACATCCTAGCACAGTAAAAGCAAAGCAGTCTATCCCATGTGCTAAAAAAAAGGATGCCGCTCTGACAATCCCTGAAGTCCGGTGTGGGGAATGGCCTCACTCAACTGATGCGTTTCGCAACGCCCACTGGGGATTGATCACAGGAGAGTGAGAAGCAACATATGCCAGAGATTTTATCCGCATCAGTGGTCGTGAAATGAGTGCATGATAACAGGTGTCTGCAAAAAAAAAAGGTTAATAAAGGTGAGGTGAAAACAAAGCGTAATGGGGATAAGAATAAAAAGAAAAAATACCAAGCAGAAAAATAAAAAAATATAATAAATAAAAAATCTATGACCTGAAAAAATTTAAAATACAAAATGAAAATAAAAAAGTGCCAAAAATGTAAAGAAAATAAATGAAATATGACAAATAATGAAAAGAAAGAAAAGAAACTGAAAATTTTAACAAAAAAGTGGGTTAATAATTTGATAAAAATATTGTAAATAATCCATGATGAAACCAAAGAGAAAATGTAGGGAAAATAGATAAAATAATATAATCTTTATTGGAATATTGATATTAAAAATAAAAGAGAAAAAGAAGGAAAAAGGAAAAAATGTGAAAACACATGTAAGACAATGTCTGCAAAGAAGTATACAAAAAGATGTAATGCGAAAAATGATGAAAAAGCTAAAGCAATTTTTTTATTGAAATTTCCAAAACAAAAAATATAATAAAAATTATATGCTGAGACTCGTAGTCTATTGTTCTAATCAGGGACATCATATAGGACTAGGGTAGAGGGAAAAAAAAAAGGGCACAAGCAAAAGAGAGTAGAGAAAACGTTAGCAGAAAGTACTATTCATATTAGTGGGTCACATTCAAGTTTAATTATTTTGGTATCAGTGTCTCCAATTTGAAGTTCCAAAAGACTTCTCTTTTAGAGAAGAGAAAACCGGTCAACCCCTGTTAAATGGATTTATGCGCTCTATCACTTGTATCCTCAGAGAGCTAGTATGCAGTAGTGCCGTCTAAAGTGTCTAGAAATATTGGTTTGTTTACTAGTCCTGATGTTTGACATATGATCACGCATTCTGTTGCACGTGTTGCAGTGCGGCCTACATGTTGTAAGTTGCACTTAAGGCAAGAAATCGCATAAATGACGTACTGAGTTTGACAACTAATGAGTTGTTTGGTGTAATTTTTGCCATTGGTGCAAGATGTTATAACATGAGAATCCCCCAACATACTGGCAGCTTGAACAGCGAGTGGCTTTACATTTGAAGAAACCTGTCGTGTGTAACCAGGTTTGTCTAGGTTGATTAAAGAGAAACAGACTGGGGGAGATCATATTAACCGCCTCTTGTCCGCCCCCATAGCAGAAATACTGCTACAGGGCGGCAGGGGTGTGCAAAATGCCTCAGCTGTCAATCACCGAGTCCCAGACGGTGATTACTCACCGGCGCCCGGTTATTACATAGGATCTCCGACGGGGAGGAGAACTGTTTGTAAACAAAACAGTTTTCCTCCCTGTCAGCTCGTGCACACTGCTTTGCATGGTTGTACACAGCATGGAAAGCAGTGTGCTTACAGTGAAGCTCAAACACACAGCTCCACAGTAAAACACACCCAGCAGAGAATTAACCCTTTGATCACCCCAGATGTTAACCCCTTC